CACCTGGACACACCTGGGACACCCCTGGGACACACGTGGGACATGGGGGACACACCTGGGACACACCTGGGACACACCTGGGACACACCTGGACACACCTGGGACACACCTGGACACACCTAGGACACACCTGGGGACGGGGGGGACACCTGGGGATACCCACAGCCACACCTGGGCACACCTGGGGATACCTGGGGACACACCTGAACACACCTGGGACACACCTGGGACACCCCTGGACACACCTGGGACACACCTGGGACACACCTGGACACACCTGGGACACACCTGGGCACACCTGGGCACACCTGTGCGCCCCCGTGGCGCTCCCTCACCTGTCCCCTCCCCCCCAGGTGATCTGCCGCTCCCTGGGCTGCGGCTCCGCCCTGGCCGCCCCCGGCCACGCCCGCTTCGGGCAGGGGGCGGGGCCCATCTGGCTGGACGGGACGCACTGCACAGGTGAGGAGCTCACCTTGGCCAGGTGCCGCCTGCACACCTGGGGCGAGCACAACTGCGGCCACATGGAGGACGCCGGAGCCGTCTGCTCAGGTGAGCGCGAGGACGGGGGGACAGGTGGGGCAGGTGGGGCTCAGGTGAGGGCAGGTGGGGCAGGTGGGGCTCAGGTGAGGGCAGGTGGGGCAGGTGGGGCTCAGGTGGGTTCAGGTGAGCTCAGGTGGGCTCAGGTGGGTTCAGGTGAGCTCAGGTGGGCTCAGGTGTAATCAGGTGAGCTCAGGTGAGACAGGTGAGGGCAGGTGGGCTTAGGTAATGACAGGTGGGACAGGTGAGCCACAGGTGGGCCAGGTGGGGCTCAAGTGGACTCGGGTGAGCTCAGGTGTGCTCAGGTGAGGACAGGTGAGCTCAGGTGTGCTCAGGTGGGCACAGGGGAGTTCAGGCGAGCTCAGGTGAGGACAGGTGAGCTCAGGTGTGCTCAGGTGAGGACAGGTGGGTTCAGGCGAGCTCAGGTGATGACAGGTGAGCTCAGGTGTGCTTAGGTGTGGTCAGGTGAACACTGGGTGTGCTCAGGTGGCAGTCAGGTGAGATCAGGTGGGGCAGGTGAGGCTCAGGTGGGCCCAGGTAGGCACAGGTGGGCTCAGGTGTGCTCAGGTAACACAGGTGTGCCCAGGTGAGCACCGGGCTCTCAGCTGTGCCCAGGTGTGCCCAGGTGCTCTCAGCTGTGCCCAGGTGCTCTCAGGTGTGCCCAGGTGTGCCCAGGTGCTCTCAGGTGTGCCCAGGTGCACTCAGCTGTGCCCAGGTGTGCCCAGGTGCTCTCAGCTGTGCCCAGGTGCTCTCAGGTGTGCCCAGGTGCCCCCGGCCGTGCCTCACCCTCGCCCCTCCCCCGCAGGTGCCGACCCCGCCCAGGTGCGGCTGCAGGGCGGGGCCGGGCCCTGCGCGGGGCAGGTGCAGGTGCTGCTGAACCGCACCTGGCTGCAGGTGTGCGGCCTCACCTGGGCAATGCCCGAGGCGCAGGTGCTGTGCCGGCAGCTGGGCTGCGGCCCCGCCCTCAGCGCACCTGTGGGGCCGCGCCTGCCGGGCCAGCCCTACCTGGCCGAGCTCACCTGCCGGGGCTCCGAGGAGCTGCTGCTCGAGTGCCCCGGGCTCCGCCCCGCTACCTGCGCCTCAGGTGCGGCCGCCGCCATCGCCTGCGCCGAGCTGCCAGGTGAGCGCGCACCTGGGCGGGGGGCAGGGGCTCACCTGTCGTCTTTCACCTGGCCTTCACTTGTCTCTCCTGTATCTCACCTGTCCTACCTATCTCCCACCTGTCTCACCTGTCCGACCTGTGCTCACCTGTGATCTCCTGCCCTCACCTGTGCTGCCCATCCCTCAGGTGTCTCACTCCTCTCACCTGTCTCCCTCACCTGTCTCACCTCACCTGTTTCACCTGTCTCACCCGTATCTCACCTGTCCCTCACCTGTCTCACCTGTGTCTCTCACCTGTATTTCACCTGTATCTCACCTGTATCTCACCTGTCCCTGACCTGTCCCACCTATCTCCCACCTGTTTCACCTGTCTCACCTGTGTCTCACCTGTGTCACCTGTCCCTCACCTGTGTTTCTCTCACCTGTCTGTCTCACCTGTCCCTCCCTCACCTGCCTCACCTGTCTCTCACCTGTGACTCTCTCACCTGTTCTGTGTTTCACCTGTGTTTCTCTCACCTGTCCCTCACCTGTCTGTCTCACCTGTCCCTCCCTCACCTGCCTCACCTGTCTCTCACCTGTGACTCTCTCACCTGTATCTCACTCACCTGTCTCACCTGTCCCTCACCTGTCCCTCACCTGTCTCTCACCTGTCTCTCACCTGTCTCACCTGTCCCTCCGCGTCTCACCTGTGACTCTCTCACCCGTATCTCACCTGTCCCTCACCTCTCTCACCTGTCTCACATGTATCTCACTTGTATCTCACCTGTCTCACCTGTCTCTCGCCTGTCTGTCTCACCTCTCCCTCCCTCACCTGTGTCACCCATATCTCACCTATCCCTCACCTGTCTCACCTGTGACTCTCTCACGTGTCTCACCTGTATCTCACTTGTATCTCACCTGTCTCTCTCTCTCTCACCTGTCTGACCTGTGACTCTCTCACCTGTCCCTCCCCGTCTCACCTGTGACTCTCTCACCTGTCTCACCTGTATCTCACTTGTATCTCACCTGTATCTCATCTGTCTCTCACCTGTCCCTCACCTGTCCCTCACCTGTCTCTCACCTGTCTCACCTGTCTCTCACCTGTATCTCACCTGTCTCACCTGTATCTCACCTGTCTGTCTCACCTGTCTGTCTCACCTGTCTCACCTGTGCAGCCCCGCCCGACTCGTGCTCTCTGCTGCTGGCGCTGCTGGGGGTGGGGGCGGGGCTCTGCGGGGCCCTGCTGGGCCTTTACCTGTGCGCCAGGTGCGCCAGGTGCGCCCCGCCCCGCCGGGGCCGGCCACGCCCAGGTACGGCTGGGGGCCCCAAAACCAAAACAGCCCCAAAATCCCCCCCAAAAATCACCCATATCTCACTTGTATCTCACCTGTATCT